CATGCCACGTTTAGTGCCCGCAAATTTGAGCTCCTCCCCGTTGGGTTCCGCTTGCCACATTCTTCAGCGACCACAAATTTTCATGTAGTTATTTTTCTTCGCCTTCGGGGCCACTCCCACCCCGCTTTTCCATTTTCCCCTGCATTGTGTTTTTTTTTTTTTGTTTTACGAGTGCCAGGGAGTTCTGTGTCCTGTGTGTGTTTTGTAACAAACTTGGGGAACCGAAATCGATCTAGTTTCTTTTTTAAAACTTTTGCGTCGGACAAGGATTTGCATAAATCACAAGGGGCTGAAAATAGGGTTTTAGCTTTTTAAAATAAGTTTTTTAGAAGAAACAATGACTAGGTCTGTAATATCTTAGAAAGAATTTAAAATATCAAGCATTTTTCAAGGCTTTTAGTTAGTTGGGATTTGTTCAACTTTACCTACTCTTACATATTCTTATACTAATTGTAAATATTTATAACATATTGAATGGGTATTAAGCTAAAAAAATACAACTCTTTATTAAATGAGTTGCTGACAAAGCAACAGCTGTCCTGGGAAAATATTAATAGATTTCCTAGACTTAGCGGGTATCTCATCGTCGCAACCCTCTTACTTCTAGAATTTTCCACGTTCTGTTTTTTTCCGGGACTTGTAAACGTGCTATGTTTTATTTTTACAACTTCCTTTTGGGCTTCGACCAGAAAAAAAGCTAAGATGAAGAGGACGATGGTGAGAAAGTGCCAAAAAAACAACAAGGACACAGCAACAGGGGATTGAGGCTGGGATATGGGAGTCCCCGGCAGCCCCCAGCTCCTTCGATAGGAACTGTGTGAATCTGCTTTGACTGTTAAAGTGTTCCAATTTTTCATGTCCACATCTGCATACACACACACACACACACGTCGGTCTAAGCATATGTAAATGTGTCTGTTTGCCCGCCTATATCTCTGCTTTGGCGCTGGAACTGGAATATCCTGCGTGTTATTTCTGCGTTTGTTTTCCTTCTCGCTTGTTTTTCTTTCTTTCTGTAGCTCCTCTCCATTCCCTCGCTTTTTGTTTGAGTGCGTCGTCTTCCGTTTTTCCGTTTCCTTCTGATGGCGCAAATTACAACGCATAATTTTCACATTACGTCAGCGTATTAAGAATGTGTGTGTCTGGGTGTGCGAGTATTGGTGTCCCGTCTGTACTCACTTTTTTGCAGCTCGGGAATGCGACTTTTTGTTGCCTCCTGACGTTGGTTAATGTTGCGATATGGAAATCAATATTCCTAATGGCTGTCATGCGATACACACAAGCACACAAGGATCCGCAGGATTCCCGCGACAAGGACCGGCACTCTCTTCTCCGACATTCAACATTCCGACATTCGACATGCATAAATATGTACGTCAGCTTGGTTAATATTTAATCAGCCCCAACGTTTCTCAAATTAATTAAATCGATATTGAGCTGGGCACGAAACGGCGGGTGGTTTTTAAAAATGGAATCCAGCAGACGGAGCTTCAAGCCTTGGTCATAAAATATCCTGATTAAACATTATATTTGTTGTTATATTGAAAACCATGTAATTGAGAAGTGTTGAAACTTTTTCTTTTAAACGAAAACATTTAATACAGAATCGCTTTAAAAATATGCCGTGATTATATTTATTTTTATAATAGAAGCGAACAAATGCATGCTTTATGAACTAAGAATTCATTTATTGTGGAATATCCTTGCAGTGCATTCTAATTTCAGTTAGAAGCTTAAACGCTGTGAAGGTATCATTTCCGACCCTATAAACCATATATATTCTTGATCAGAATCAAAAGCCGAATCGATCTAGCCATGTCTGGTCAAAAAATAAATTTTGACATTTTTTCAAATTTTAAAAATTTTAAGGTTACATCATTAAAATTGTCAAAAATTGATAAAATTTTTAATTTTCAATTGAGTATGCAGATTTATTAACCTACTAAAAACTAACATAGAACAGCTTTCCGATTGGAAATTTATGCATTTTTGGCTGAGATATGAAGGATTTTCTCTGCAAGGATATGGCTTCATTTCTTGTGTTTTTATTGTGTTTATCAAAACTTGCAATCCCTACTTTGCCCACAGAGTGGCTGACAGTCCTGCAGATCGTGATTGGGTCAAAACTTAGACCAGCATGGCATAAAAGTCAAAGCCGAAAAGTAAAGTGCACACAAAACTAAACAAAACAGAAAAAAAAGGAGACGATGGCAAAGAAAACACATCACAACAGAAGGACGAAAATGTTGGAGACGGCAAACGGGCAAAAAACTCGCGGTAATTTGAACCTTTTTCCGTTTGGCTGATTCCTGCCGTTGCAGGCCAGCACAGAAATCAAATATCAAAGCGAAAACTTTTCCCTATATCGGGAAAAGCGGGAATGGGCGGAACTCTCCGAGATGGGGGCCATTCAACGCACGAGTAATCCTCCGTGGCAACAGGTTGCCAGGTTTTTATTTTGACAACTGAATGGGGCGAACAACAACAGCGGCAACGGCAACTAAGTGGGGACCAGGACAGGATTATGGTGGAGGCAACCTGCAGTTGATTTGAAAATCAAACTTGCATGAAACAATGCCAAACAGTTGGGCCAAAAAGGAGCAAAAAAGGAGCAAAAAAGGAGCAGACTGGCCAAAGGAGAGACAATAGAAAAGTTTAAAGTCGTTAAAATAAAAGGATTTGAACAATTTAAACCGAACTGTGCCAAAACGTTCGATTGAAATAAGCTACTTTCCCAGTCATTTGGCTGTGCTGATTTGGGAATTGACTTTTAGTTAAGGCTTCCTTCCATCCCACGTCCTCTCCCAACAGGATGTAATCTTTCAACTTAACTGAGATTCCGCTCCGCTCTCCATGGGTTTTTCCAGCTTTTCCCTGTTTGGTTCTGTTTGTTTTGCTTTGCTTTGTTTTTTGTTTTTGCTGTTATCCCAGTTATTTTTTCTATCGTCTTTTTTGGCCCTCACCTTTGCAATTACCAGCGAACGGAACGAAAAATCGAATGGAACGGAGATGGAGTGGAGTAAACGGTTTCCAAGCCAACCTCGAGAGTTTTCCGCACGCCAAATTTTATCGCTTGCGGATTTATTTTTCAAGAGATATCCGCTTTTCATCCTTGGCCAGTCCGTTATTGCTTTCGCGGCTAGCAAGGACGAAATGGGAAAATCAAAGCATACGTGGCCAGTTTATTTTGATATCTGTGCGGAAGACCAGAGTGAACCTCTTAGGCACTCATTAAATCCCTGATTACGACATTTAAGGCGGAAGCAGATGGCTGCCACTGCTCCCAGGGATAATATTCCCGTTTAAATATCATTTCAAACTTGCCCATAACAATCCATTTAAATTGTATACATCACAAGTTTCAGAAGTTAACCTTCCACTCAACGAAATTCATTTGCATTCATATGCCAGGAATTACCCCGGGCGAGAACCTGCAATGAAATTAAATACGTTACCAAAATAAAATGCCAAATAAAAGCGTGAAAAATGAAACCCACTTTCGGCTCTTCCCACTCGAAACCACCACCACCATCACCACACATCCAAATAAAAGCCGTAAATGGGGCTTCAACGCCGTGAGTTGAAAGTGGCAATGGATGTGGATGTGGAGCCAGGGGGTGGAGTCATTTATTTGCATTTCAAACCCAAACCGGAGCGAACGAGCCAAACATGAAGAAAATGAAATCGGCACTCTGGCGAAAAATTCATAAAATAAAGGATTTCCTAATTGCCAATTTGCATGCAGCCGCGTCTAATTTTTGCCCATTCGCTGGATAAATAAACTTCATTTTGCGCTGGGGTTTTTCCGGCCTTTCCTTTGCTTTTTTTCCAGCAGCAGCGGCACAATATGCCCTAGCAGGGGTACTTTGACTTGTAAGTTCGGAATTTTTTGATTAATTCATATGACTTGTATAAGAGTAGTAAGGTCTAGATCAATTCGATCCAATTCTTACGAATCGTTATAGGAAAACAAATATATTCCATTAATATAAATAAATTATTCCATATATAAATGTTTCCTTGGGTTACAGTAATCCCTTAATTTGAAAGTAAATTAAATATGAATTTCCTTAGATTTCCTAGATTTCCCACTGTACCTACTCGCAAATTGATCAATTTATCCGAATCGCTCCATCAGGGTATCAAACTGGACCCTAGGCAAAGTCCCATATTTCTCGCACTTGTTTGTTTATGAATTTGTTTATTTAGTGAGCTGGCGGCCGTGCTTTGCCGGCATGCGATGTAGCATATAGCTGCACCACAACGGGCGCACCAGGACCTTCGCTCCCTCCTGAATTCGGACGAATTCCGCGCAAATCTTATTTGCCCTTAGCCACCGGACCCGCCCGTAGCCAGGAGTCCGGACTCTGCCCGGGAGGAGGCCAGAAATTCCACGGTTTTGTTTTCACTGCCTGCGTTGCATATTTGCCTCGGCTTTCCCGTCGCGGCATGTACTGGTTTTTTTTTTTTAAATTTGCCCAATTCCAGGCATGATATGTGTGCGGTTCCGGGGGGCCCGCCCGAGTACGGGCCCTATTTGCCTTTCAACTTGCTGCCCGAGATCGTGTTATTTATGCAAATGTCAAATATTTTGATATTCCGCTGCCATGTGAATGAAAGCAAACGGAAGTACATTATAAAGTTGCCCACTCTGCAACCGTATTATTTGGCCAACCAACAAGCCGAAATGTGCCACTAATATGACCGCCCCGGAACCCATCCTCCTCCCATCTAACCGCCACCCTCCTGGACGTCCATCTCCGGAGCTGGCAGCAAGTGGAGTAATTATGGCATTTTTGGAATTCCACCTGCCACCCACCCACCCAACAACACTCGGAACCACTCGTTTGAAAGCCACCTGGCAGCCTCAACATTTTGTTGCCATCACGAACCTCCTTTGTTGCCTTTGTTGTGCTCTCTGTGTAGGGGGATATCTCTGGGCTGGGGGATATGGCAATGGGGCAAAGTACATTTTTGAAATTATTGGCACGTTGGGCGAGTTACTTCGCAGAAGGAATTTTTAATTTCACAATACAGAGTCACTCACAATTTTACTTCCATTGATTATTATTATACAGCATAGCAGGCCTTTTGAGTTGAAGATAGATGGACCAGAGGCCCCAGGGATGGGTGGCCTTATTTCGCAATTAAATTGCTAATTGAGTTGCCCAGCCGGAAAGTCAATTAGCCAACGGCCTCAGATCAATGACGAAAAATTTAAATTAGTAGAAAGGTGCAAATTTTGGGTTCAAGTGAGTCACTTTGCAGGGAGAGATCATTAGCCGAGAGCTCGGTCTCGGACCAACTTGCCCCAAATGGTCCCAACTGGATGGACAATCACTTTTCGATTGCTCCGAAAGGTCAGCGTCTCGTAGTGATAGCCATCTGCGATCTTGACAGAGTTCTGGTTCATGGTGAAGGCCAAACTTATTGGGTCAAGATCCACGTAGAAACAGTTCAGCAGGAAGATCAAAATGTTGGATCTCGCCACCAGTTCGTAGGCGGCGGCCAACTTCTCATTCCAAATTGTGGCAGATGTAAAGGGCAACGGCTCCTTGGACTGCAGCTCGATGGCCTCCTTCATGGTCCGGAATGTGTGGACCGTAATCACCCCAGTCGGTCCCTTTCCTAAATGCCGATGACAGAGGTCGTAGACAAGCACTGGGCTGGCATTCAATGGAACCGTTTTGGGATTCCCCCTTGTGGTCCTGGCCTGCAGATGCTTCAATCGCTTCAGAGTCTGCACGAAGACCGGATGGGCTGAGATCTCAGGGCTAAGGGGCTCCAAGCGATCTTTCATGCGATCGATAAACTCCTCCAATATCGATTCCTGCAACAGAAGGGTGGCCACCGAATTGCTGGCAAACGGATCCTGGAGAGACTCAACCAGATAGTGGATGGCGCAGTTGATGTCGCCATCTTCGCACAGGATCATCAGGCGAGGGGAGTTCCAGCGGTATTGGATCTCCACTTCCGGTTCCGACTCCTCCTCACTCATGGAACTCAGTTCGGAAACCACGGTGAGCCTAGGCGGTTTTTTCTGAGGCTCATCAACACTCTTCGTGGACTTGCCCCCGGACACTGTTTGTACTACCAAAGGCTGGGATACTTCCAGAGATCTGCTGCACTTCAGAGTATAAATAAAGTCATGTCGAATCAGGGGAATCGGAAGAATAGGATTTTTGGGTATTAGGTTTTCAACTTCGTCAGCAGCCTTGTTTGTTCTAGAATAAGAATTTTTTTGTATAATGAAAAGTTTTATAATGAAAGTAATATGTAATATATTATTATTTTGCTATTATATTGCCACAGAATTACCTGTTCATCGTGAATTATTAATTCCCTAATTATTGTTAACTATCACTTAAATGAGTAATGTTGCCCGGCCAACTTAATTATATTTTCCTTAAAGTCATTACTTGCTGTATTTCTTTTTAAGATCCCAGAAATTAAAGCTTATTTTGGGTTTTCCTTTTATGTTGGTTTATTGAAATAATATTTACTTATGTGTTTAGGATGAGATCTAAGCTAGTATTTGTAATTAAGACACGATTTTTGTACCAAAAGAGCTTTGCCTAAAATCAAACCGAAATCGAACCTCGATCCTAGCGAACTCCAAATCAACTGGAAAAGCCAACCCGCCATGGTATCTTAGTTTCCGATAGACCTCTCCCTCCCGACTTCCAATCGCAGTGATTTATCAAATCACACTCATCCACACACACACACACACACAGTTCACACTTGACTTGTGCAGTTGACCGCCCATCGAAGGCCGTTCCGCCCGTCCACCGCCCATCACCTCGACCTTATTGTGGGCAGAAAGAGATTTACAGTTGATTTAACCATTTAAGCATGGCTAATGCATAATAAACGTTTCGCCGCAAACTTTTCAAGCACTCCAACGAGTGTGTGTGTGTGTGAAGGGGGCCTTTCCGATTTTCCGAACCCTTCTTGCCCATTTTCCAGCCTCGTGTCGAACCTATTTGAGATAGAAATCATGTGCAGTCATTAGATTGTTTTTCGATTGACGTGACATGATAATGAATGATTTTCCTTTTGCTGTCTCCTTTGTTTCCCTTCGCTTTCTCAGCTTTCTTCGCTCGTCTCTTCCGCTTCCGGTTCCAGCGTTTCGCAACTTTTTTGTGGCGCTCAACGTGCAATTTGTGCGAAAAGTGGTGTGTCTAGTGGTGACGTGGCCGTCGGAAGGCGGCTGGTGGCTGGTGGCAGGTGACGGCCAGTTTGTTTGCTGATTTGTTTATGGCAGACCGTAATGACCGATGAAGTGGCAGCTGGCCGCCTCAAGTGGTTGTTAACCCAAGTTTCGTCGGCGAAATTAACACGAATTGCAATTAAAGTGGGCACGAAATTGAATTGGAGCCCCCTCTGACAGACCCCATTCACACGTTATTTCATGCACTCGACAAATTATTGAAGACCAGGTCTGAATAAATTATATAAACGAAGTAAAAAATATATAATATACATAATATTCTATAATTAACATTCAGATAATTGTGCGGAATTTAACTAATAAACAAAAGCTTGATTTAAATTAAATTTAAATGAAATTGGGAATCGCATTTCTTCTTAGTGTGTGTAAACTTTATCTTAATTGGTTTCAAGCAGATGCAAATCTATTCGGAGTTGGCTCCACTCAGCACCAGTTTAAAGCCGGGATTGACATTTGTGGCAGGTTGAACCCACTGCTGCTGACAGGTGTGACAATGCCGGAAAAGTCGACAGCTTTGAGGGCTATTCACCTGCCGGCGGCGGGGATTGCCCGTTCATTAGGGGCTGTTTAAATAAAACGCCCGTTAAATATAGAGAGAGATATGCGAAAAGTATGCGAGTTGGTTGTGTAATTAAAATGTATAAATGGAATCAAAAGAATCAGTCAAAGGAAGCCGCACGCACAAAAAAGAAATTAAATGTACCACGTCTGGCGTATTATGAGGACATTTCCATTTCCTGTGGACAAGGGGAGAGAAAATGGCAGTGAACAAGCTCTCGACTTGTCACGCCTCCTTGCCACCACCGTCAACCTCCCATCGCCCCGCTTGCCACTCCTTTTGCATGTCCTTGTCGCCATCGTCCTAGTCGTCGTCTTCTTCGCATTTCGTCTGGTTCTTGAGCGGCGGCGCTTTGTTTTGCTTAATTAATACGCGTTTACATGTTGCCGACTTACGCACGCTTCGCATGTCCCAGAAAAACACACCCACACATAGACATCAGGCCGCCTCTATCCCTCCGAACAGGACCTCTCTTTGCGGTTGACACGCAAATGCAATTTGTGTGCCAAAGGTAATTCCTGTCTCCAGGACTTTGAGGACTGCTCAACAATACAAATGACTGAAATAAATATTTAAATAGTCGCCCTTGTTTCGTTCGCTTTTTTCTGCGCCTCTTATGAAACTTTAATTAATGTGTTAGCCACACACAAATTTTAATCAGGCACGTCCTTGCGGAATAGCAGATCATTAATTAGGCGGGGTAATTGCACAGCCAGCTAGTTCACTTCCGGCTATGCTCGAATTCCATTTAAATTTCCATTTAAAGCACACGTCCCTCGAGACATGGAGCATATGCTGCGGGGCAGAGTGGTGATAAAATCAAAATTTTAATTTAATTAAGCACGAATTGAATTTGCTGTAATCAATTAGCTCAGTGTTCAGTGAGCAACGAATGAGTTTCACAGGCAGGTGCATAGATCCTGGCCAAAGATACCACAAAATACACATACTTCTAAATGGGACGCTGTGGGAAATTAAGAGAAATTTCCAAGTGAATGACAGGGAGTGATAAAATCTTTGGGATTATGCCGAAATTAGCCAAGGGGCAGTTTTAATTAGTGTGAGTGATTTTAGTGAAAATCCCATTGAATTTGCACGTTTTTATGGCAGCATTAATGACCTTAATTGTGACGCCTTGTTTACACTCATAATGCCCCGCGGTGTTATTTCTTGTAATTATGTGACAACAAATTGAGTCCAGCATAAGCATTATCGAGAATACTTGTGTGTGGAGTGGCATAAATTTAATTACAATGTTAAATAATGACTCCATGCCATTATTTTTCCCTTTGTTTGCTTTCACATTAACGAAGCAAATTAATGACAGCCAAGTCCAGATGTCAATTTCCTCAGTCAAGCGGGAATTCGAGGTATATAATCAGAAATGATGCGTAATAAAATTTTCATATATATTTAAATTTAAATTTAAGGCCAGCATCCATCGATGGGAATGCTGGCATAAGCCACGCCAACGAAGGGCACCGAGTTTTTAATCAGCTTATGACATAAACAATGCAAACAGAAGGCAGTCAAGGAGAGTCCTAAGAACACCGTCTGTGGGCCGAAAATAATATTTTTGGTTCGAAATGAAAATCAGCATCGGACCGTATTTCATGAATGCAAATTAATGGCCGCAAACGGCTGGCAGCCCAATGGCTTAAATGCTGCAGAAAAATGGGCAGGGAAATGGGGAGTTGAGCAATGCAAATATTTTTCCAGGATTTATGCAAATTTTTCGCCTGTGTACTTACATGGAAATCCGTTGGCTGGAGTTCAGAAAGTTGTATCATGCAAGCCAGACTAAGTCCCAATGTGTGAGTGGCCCATGGGGCGTATGAGTAATACAATAATAATTATATGCAAAGCAAATTGAAATACCAAAGACAAATTTTTATTCAAGCCCCCCGCCCCACCGCCCGTTGACGTTATCTCCTTAAAGGTAAATAAGGATAAAGGAATCACGGAGCGGGAAAACTCCAACTCATGGCGTGAGTAAGAAGATTTTTCATCCTCCGTTTGCCGTTTGCCGTTGACTTTCCGCAGGGCTTCCATATTGCGTGTCTGCCGGGATTCCAGATACAAGATTAACTCGGAAAGTATGTGCGTGTTCCGTGTGTTCTGGGTAACCTGAGCCAAGCGAACTGAAACGAAATAATCGAGACATGCAATCTGGGGAAATGCATCATTAACGACTAATTAGTGGCCGTCCCACATGTTGACCGAACGAAATGAGCTGCGAAGCGAAATCAATGCTGAAGGAATTGTGGTCGAAAGGCGCCTGCCTTCCCTGCTGCCAGCTCAGACTTTATAATCTGCCGTCTGTCAGGCAAAATTAGCCACAGTTTTCCCCCAAACGCCTGTCGGTCCTAAACCTTTTTACCATAAAGTAAATGCCAGAGGGGCTTTAATACATTGCATGTGCAGCTTGGGGCCATGGAATTGCTTGAGTCTCCGCAGCCAACTGCCTTGGCGTACGCGGCGTATGCGTAATAAAACGCATCTCAATAGATTATTACGCTTACATAACTCCAAGCCGCACGTCAATAACGGGGCACATTGTCTTTGGGCCCAGAGCTGCTGCACTTTAGCCGGATGTTGACGGTAAACACAACATTTTGCCATCAAGAACCACAGTGGGTAAACTCAAAAAGGTGTTGTGTATTTTAAACTAACTACTTTTAGGTAGTGGTTATTGTGGAATAAGCATTCATCATTTAAATGATATGCAATGCATACAAATTATAAGATTTATTATGTTTACTCTTTCTTACATCATTTCTAATTTAACTCTTGAATCAAAAGCAATTTGTTTTGATATTATATAAAATTTATAATTATTATTATTATTGATGAAAAGTAAATTCATTCTTAGAAAATATATTTCTTTGGATTTTAATATATTTCATTGCATCATAATCTTTGTCTCTTAATTTTCTGGCCAAGGTGTCTGTATTGTATCCATCGTACTTGAAGAAACTTGGGAATGCGCCCTGTGCGCGACTCGCTGCGGTTACCCTGTTCGTTTATTATGCCATTCACAGTTTAATAATGATAATAACGTCAGGATATTAAAGTTTTCCTGCCCGCCAGCCGGAATGTCGAACGTCTCCGTGGAAGCGTGGTGTGGGACTCCGCCGCAGCATTTCCCGGCATCCTGTCCCGCGGCTCGCACTGCGCGGCATTAAAACTATAATCAGTTTATGCAATAAAGTAAATTGTGTACGTAATGCGTGCTGATGGTATGTCTTTTATTTATTTATTTTCTTGTGCGCTACTTTTTATTATTACGGCTTAAACTTGCTTAGCGCATTTAACGCCCCTTGTCCCCCCTTCTTCAGCTGACGCCAGCTGGGCCCACCCACAATAAACGCGTTCAATATTAATAAAAGTTTGGCCAAAGTTAATTAAATCTGCTTTTTAATGTGCAGCCATGCATGAGCAGCTAAAGCGCGAACGCAATAAATTGACCGTACGCACCATAATGTCCATACATCCGTATCCATAGCTTTTTGCCCAGGATGCTGGGTCCTGGGAAACTTTCTCTGGGGCTGAGGTGCCGAAGGATGGTCAGTGGGGTTTGGTGGGGGTAAGAGTGAGCCATAAACTTG